TAGTTGCCGCAGTGAATTTTGGGGTAAGTCCCTCTACCTGTTTGTCGGCCGCCCACCTTATGGTGATATTTCGGTAACCTGAATTATATCTTCCTCTAATTTCAGGACTGCAACGGCCAAATGAACGCTCCTCACGAAGAAGAAAATGCGCCTCACAGAAGGACATATGTAGACTTCAAAACGATCAATGTATCTCAAAATTTCAAGAAGTGCATTTTGAGCATTTTCTCCGTTACCGATGAATGGATTAGTTAGGCATCGTTTACCCCTAGCCGCATGTTAGTGGTGTGCGTCGGTTAAGACCGTTCAGCTTTCTGGTATTATCGACGTAGGCTCTATGTGGCTAATTAGTTAGGCATCGCGTACCCCTAGCCACATGTTAGTGGTGTGCGTTGTTAAGATCGTTCAGCTGTCTGGTATTATCGACGTAGGCTCTATGTGGCTAATTAGTTAGGCATCGCGTACCCCTAGCCACAGTTAGTGGTGTGCATCAGTCAAGATCGTTCAGCTGTCTGGTATTATCGACGTAGGCTCTATGTGGCTAGTTAGTTAGACATCAGTACCCCTATATTCAAAGTCGGCGGTGTTTATTGACCTGAAGATTTAGTTCACTTAAATAAATCGCCTTAGTAAAGGATTTTCAATAATACAAAAGCATATATATTATACTAGACATTCTACGCTATGAAGTGGCAAGTCTGAAAATGCCGTAGATTTCGAGAACTCAATCTCGTTGTGCGAATAGCCAGCGGCTTCAGGCACAGGAATCACTTTTTCATTTTGAGTAGTTGCTGGATGGAATAAACTCCCATCGACGGTCATACACGCCGCAGCTAGACCTCACTTTGAAGCATTTGTGATTTTTGTGTGACACACTTTGATCCGCCTTTCTCCTCTCATGTTGGTCATGCATCACTTTTAGCGTAAGATTTGGTGGAAATTATTGTCCAAATTCGTTGGGAATGTTTGAAAATGACTTGATAACAATAAACACCGTGGATGAACGAACAAATGCTTTTGGATAAATGACAAAGCCCTCGTTCGTTTATACATTCCAAGGCAATAAAACTAAAATCCTAACAACCCCAGAAAACTTCGAAATGACCTTTACGGGACGTGTATGGTCTTGGCAGTGCCTGGTCAAATGTAATAGCCTATATCGTTCCGGTCACATGTTTATCACTCTCCAGCTGAGCGAGATGTACCGTACGCAAGTTGCAAGTTCGCCCGCCATCGTAGGGGCTGCGTCACTCCAGGTCGTTTTTGCCAGCCAGGACCTTTTAGCCGAGCGTGCTTATCCTATTCAGGTAAGTTTGAGCGCGCCCAGCTGACAACGTTTTTTTCTTGGTTCGTTGTAGTGCTTGTTATTAATCACTGTGGTCAACGTCCCACGACGTTAACTCAAGGAGACGGTTCAGGTGACGTCTCAGACGCTGGCTACACAGTACACATTGTTTCGTGCTATCTGTGAGCAGTGCTAATGCTGCCGGAAAATGGCATTTTATATTTCCACGGTGAAATCAAGCAACTTCATGGAAAAATTCCGCCTATCATCTTTGGTCAAATAATGTGGCAAGTTTTGGTCCACTTTACAGTCATTTATATGAACGTAGGTAAAAATTAAATTACTAAAGACACTACGACTATACAGCTTTTAAAAGATAAGAAAAGCTAGTGGATGTTTTATCAGGTTATCTATGCTGATTAACGCTTGCATTAAAGCAAGGCCACTGATTCACGGATTGATACAACGGATTGAGGCTTTTGCCCAAGTTTCTTGGGCCGGTTTTGTCTTGTCATTCAGTGGCCGTCATTCACCAGAAAGGTACAAATAAAAACGGTGCAGCTTTGCTCGTGGTGTTCTCAGCGCCAGGCAGTATGCTTGCTAGCGCGAGGACCCGCATAAGCAAGTGTCTAATAGTGTTTTGAATTGGGTTCTAGAAGGAGCGTGGGTGACCACGCAGCTGCTGCCCGAAATGAGAACAATTCTTTACCCAGTGAATGTGTGCATTCTGAACTTGAAAATCTTCTCAACGTGATTCTGTCGTGTGTTTTTAGGTCGGTAGTGAAAAACCTGTTGGTCAAGCTTTATTAAAACAGGCCGTAATCAAGAATTACGTTCCACAGAGGCGACGGTACTCCACGGGAAAGAGGCCAAGCACCACGAGGTGCGTTTCTTTGTCCACGGATTTGAGGCCGGCAACCATTTACTTAGCGGCTTACTGGACGCGCTAAGTGAGTCTTTCGTTCATCTTGATTAGACAACTTGGTTGGCATGTTCAGGGAATGGCCCGATGTAGGCTCATAAGTCCAGGAGATTGATACAGGAGAGGGCGAGCCGAATCATCCTTAAAACGGCAAATAAATTTCGGGTCAACTTCTCGCGCTACGGAAATGAGGACAAGTTTAAGGAGAACTGGATACCCGTATCCTTTTTGGTGTCCACCCTCATGATGTTTTCTGGTCCATTCTCACCATGCGTGACAAAAGCATTCGCTGAGTCTCCGCCAAATGACGTATGGACGCACTTTTCGTCGTTCAGAGGAAGGTACCAGTCTAACAACCACTGCTTTGCAGAGTCTACATCCATTTTTTGTATTATTTTTGGAACTGTTGGATTTTAAGTCGTCCCCAAAAAAGAGACGTGACTTGCAAGAACATCTGGGAGGTCAATGACGTAGAGCTGTCCAGAACCGTCCCAGAATGGAGACTTGAGGAACTCCAATGGAAACAGGCACTGAAGAATAGTGGGTAGGGCCTAACTTCACTCGGAGTGATCTGTCTGTTTGGAACGCCTTGAACATAGTGGGATTATCCCCTGGAACCTATAGGACTCGGGTTCGTGGAGCAGCGTGGCATGTGGGATCCTATCAAATGCCTTTGATAAGTCGAGAAATATGGCATCCGATATGAGTTCTTCGTCCCTGGCTTTGGTTGAGCTGTCCATAAACACGAGCATGTTTGTTACGCAAGAACGGTTTAGGAGAATCCGTGTTGAGCTGGAAATATCAGGTAGCTGAAAGTAAGGTGATCTAGGAAAACTCGCTTCAGAATGCTTCCATCACCTTGCACGTCACGCTAGTGAAGCTTATAGGCCTGTAGATGCCAGGCGACAGTCGGTCACCAGTTCTGTAGATTGGCGTGGCAATCAATTCTTTTTCAGCAAAGGGAAGGCGGCTTTCTTCAAGCGACTGACAAGACACCAGGTATAAATGTTTTGCCAGTGTAGACGACGTTTCCTTCAGGATCTTTGGATGGACCTGGTCGGGCTCCGGCGCGCAGTGTTGGTTCATCTTGTGCAAGAGTTGACGAACGTCCTCCACCGTGAAGACCAAGTCAGTCAGAGGCCGCTCTTAATTACGCCTTGACAAGGGTGGATGTGACGAGGGCGCTGGGTTTGAATATAGACCTGCATAGCGTTCTCTATAAACCTTAGATACCACTGTTGGGTCACCCGTGGGTTCCCCGTTCCTGTCTCCCAAGGAGAACGCGGATGGGTGGTTTATGCGGCGATATCTCATGTATTTCAACAGTACGTTTCTGTTTTTCGGGGGAGGTCCGGAACAGTAGCTTGTTTTCGTATGTTCCATTAGGGGATTTCTGATTTACAGTGGTTCCGAACTACAAGCTCGTTTTTGTGTCTCCTGTAGTGAACTTTTTAAAAAAATTAAGACCTCTTTTCCGGAAGACGCCGAATCCTTTTAGGCAGACTGAGGCTCACCCGAGTGCGTGCTGGGTTTTTGAGACGAACGTCATCTCATTCTCTTAAACTTTTGGAAAAATGGTCCTATGTAAGTCTTTCGCTGGAGCTGGCCTCAGTGCAACTTGTTCAAGAAAGATGATCATTCCCAAGAAATCTGAACGGCAGAAGCTTCGAAACCACGTATATAGTGCTGGATTTCCGGCGTAATAGGACATGGAATCAAAGGTCAGCACACAGTGATCACGATGTCCCAGAGGAGCGTTAATTATCACCTGATCAATGGAGTGTCTTTCGTTGGTGATGGCCAAATCCAGGGGAATTGTAGCTGGCCTGCATGATTGGTAGGTGCAACAAGAGTCCGTGCACTCTGCTGAACGAATTCAATCAGCCCTGCTGAAAAAAGTTCACTTGATCCGACGCGCTGGGGTTACATTCAAAGGGACTTTGGAGAGCTGAACTCACCTACCAGCAGGAGATGAGTGGAATGGTGTCCGGAGGAGAGTTGCTCAATGGCTCGTAAATTTAGTTGATTATCTTCAGCGGGGTTTGAGGGGCTGCGGTGGACCACATCGGGAAGGAGAGAATCGGACCCGCACAGAGGGATTTGGATCCACAATACATCACAAAAAGGTGCTGAAGTAGAATCAGAGAGCACATCTGGGATTGGCAGGGCCGCGAAGCAACCGCATTGGTCCTCCCTCGTTTTGAGTCAGCTCGAAAAACAGTGTATCCGTCTATCGAGATCGCCGCGTCGGAGACATCTGGTGTGAGCCAGGTGCGATCACTTCCTCATTCTTAACTAAGGCAGTGCCCTAACTAGTGTTCTACATGCAATATCAAGGTCCACACATTACGTCTACATAAATAGACCTGTTATACCGAATTCATACAGTTTTCTCCAACTGCAAGCAACTAGGGTGTCCTCATACTAAATATATCGACAATTCATGTTAGCGAACATGATTCTCTGAATTTTTTCAGAGTTACTTGGTCTACCGAAATACTATGGACGCTTGAAACTGTATCCGGGACAAGCTAGGTGTCCACGACCATTTACGCAACGGGTCTCTGTCGCGGGTCCTCGTGCTTGCAAGCGTACTGCCCGGCGCACAGAACTTAAAAAGTTGTGCTACATCCTTTTTTGCTCTGCGTTTCAGTTGTGCGGCAGCCGGTGAACGACAGGAACAAAACCGATCCGGGCAATTTGGCGAAAGCCTCGATTCTGTGGATCAATCCGTGAATTCGTGAGTAATTTGCTATTCAGTTGAAAAATTCAAACACGGTGCTGGGTAGTGAAGATCTCGTGAAAGCAGGAACAATGCGTGCTTCCACGTGAACCCCACAACTGGTATTCTTGGTGCTGTAAAAACCAGTGGACATCCTTATTTTCCTAATTGTTTTAGTTAGCTCTCGAGGAGGCGCGCCACCTTTGCACGTTCCAGCGTGTTGGTAGGTTTCGCGTTTCTCGTTGCGATTTTTCTCATTTTTAAGGAATGAAATTCAATAAACATGTCAGCAGTTCTCGAAGGAAAGCCAGGCGGCGTTATTTCAATGCCCCTTCGCACATCCGCCGTCGGTTGATGAGCGCTCCCCTCTCAAAAGAGCTAAGGGCAAAGTACAAGGTCCGCAGTATGCCCATCCGCAAAGGCGATGAGGTTCAAATCGTTCGTGGAGAACGGAAGGACACGACGTCTGCCAAAGTCGTTCGGGTGTACAGAAAAAAATTTGTGATCCATATTGAAAGAGTACAGTGTCGTAAAAGCAACGGCGCTTATGTTCCAATTGGCATCCACCCATCCAACGTAAGTGCTCCAATTCAAACTGGTTCGAGTCTACCAGGTTGTTATCCATAAACTGAAACTGGATAAGGATCGCAGAAACCTACTGGAACGGAAGGCTGCGGGCAAGCTGGCTGGTGAGGACAAGAATAAATATACCGAGGAAACGATCGAGTCTTAGCTGTTGAATACACGTCGTCGGAAAATTATTTTTCATTTCTTTGATAGGTCTGCTGGGGTCTGTTTACCTCGAACTCCAGATTAACGCCTGTGGGCAGTACTTCTTTTTTTGGCATACAGCTGCTAGCAGCCGTTGGGATTTAGGGACATGATCGACGGCGCCTTAACTTTAGGAAGTTTGGGAAGTATGTGTTTCAGCGGGGATCCTTAAGCCCACAATCAACACGAGGAGTTTTGGGTTAAAACACCAGTAGGAGGCACATGAATAAGCGTATAATTGGCCGGAATGTACTGCGACTATGACGGCCAGCGAAGCAGATGCAGTTTAGTCCTTCATTGGAGGAGACTACCGGATTTCAGCTGTAATCGTTCATCAGATGTGAGGATGAAGTTGAACTATGCGCTGAGTTTGTTGGTGGACATTGCTGCAGGTAGTGATCACGATTTGTTTGGAAAAATTGTATAGACAATCGATCTGATTCATGCGAGCCAGCATATGCATGGCCAAGCTGTTACAATTGAGACACCGGCATAGCGCTCCAAATGGACGACAGCAGCCACAGCGACTGGCATTGTAAGTAATGGTTTCGAATACACAGCAAGGTGACTAGGCTTTTACACCGATATATAAGCAGCTAAATGTTTTGAGGATTCGTGTACGTCCGTTAAGCTACCTATTTTCCAATCAATTTGACGATGTTACGACGTTGAGAATTTGGGTTGATTTAGCAGGAGGCTACACCAACTTAGTGGACATTGCACACTGCATTCATCCTCAGGTATGGGCAGCGACAGCTGGGCTGAAACAAATCTGGAATCTGGAAGCATGATGGCGAAAGCTAGCAGGAGCTGATCCTTCGATTTCTCTTTAAGTTTGAGCGGCCACGTAGAGCTTTTAGGCTTATTAACTCAGGTTGGCTTTACTTTGCTCGTTTGGCTCATCGGAGCGGCACGCCTGTATGTGACCGTTGTCACATACGAACAACTGCATGGAGCTGGACGTATGTCAAGTTTAGTAAGTTAGTAAGTCTTGGTCCATTGATCAGGGTTTTTAAACGTGTCAGCCCCTGGTATAGGTCAACGGAACTAGCTTTGAGGCACATCCAGTTGTCGCTTTTGATTGCACGCGACAAGCTCCCGTTGAAAACGCCTCCATGCGCTGTACGTGGATATCCGGAACGAACGAAATTTCCGACTTCCTTGCAGTTGAGTGAATAGGCCGTTGATTGCGAGGTACGAAATCGCTCAGCTGAAGCGTCCTTTCGGTGCCTAAATACCAAGCCACTTAAGGGAGGCATGATGGCTTGGATACTAAGCCCAGACGGGAGAAGTCGAGATGCGGACGTTGGGTTCGAATCACGGACCTTCCACTCCGTAAATCCGAGCTCTAACCTCCGCCTCCGCGAAATTCGGCTATTTACATGGACTGCCGCATGTACCTAATGTAACTGTTGGGTGCAAATGGTTGTGAAGTGCATGAGTCCGAGGTTTTGACTGTAAGTGAAATGGGGCTTTGGGTAGTCATCCGGTTTCGTCGTAGCACAAGTTCTCGAAGCGTATTGTGGTTGGTCACCAGGTATCAGAATGAGTTGTCGCGGATGCTCAGCTCAGGTTGTCAGCCGTAAACCATGTACCAAGGGTGCGTCGGTTCTGTCTGCCGCTGAACAACCTCAGCTGATCCAGGCAGATGGAAAATGAAGGAAACCTCAGTCCCGGGTCGCGTCGCACCATTGATGATGGAGAATATCAGACTACGGTGTGGCTTTTCGCTTATGGGACGTGGTCTGTGCTGTCTCAGACTCTGGGGTGCCATCAATTCTACATGTTGGTGCCAACTAATCCAGAACCTTGAGATAACCGAACTGGGCTCGTCTCTGGGTTGCATTCAACACTACGGGCCATGCCATCACAATCTCCGGCTTCCCAGTCTCACAGTTCGCACCAGTCCATCCCCATTTTCTTTTGTTTATCCTTAAAGAATTGTGCACGCTACTGCGGTTCGCCACAACGCTTGCATGCTATTGGGCGTAGTGGGAATGAGACGGGTTCAAAAGATACCAAGCAGCAAGTATGATGGCTCAAACTCAAGATCAACGAGTGGTTACGACACTGCTGTAGTGCGCAGCCAATTCGTTGAGGCTCTCTGTCCAAATCTCATGTGTGGCGTGAACCAACATGACTGGACCCCGTTATCGCGCGTACAATACTTCACTCCGGTTATTGTGTCCGTCCTGCATCGGAAGGGTGTGCACGGCGTGACGATACGCTCGAGTACCTGGTCTAGCATGCATTCCCCGAGTACTAGTCACGTCACTTAATGTATCCCTGTTCCCACGACATGCGTGCGGTGTTTTGAAGGCACCGATGGTAGGCGTGCAGTCCTCTTGCTTCAACGAATGACAACCGAGTTTCACAGCCGTAAAACGATACTAGAATCGATGCACCCCAACGGTACGTCACCATAAGGGCCTGGGTGAGTTTGCTAATACTGGTGGATTTAGATGAATTTATTAACCACGACCACCGTCCTGGTCACGTTCGGTATATCCGCTTAGGATTGTAAAACACAATCCGAGGCGTAGGGGCGAAACGGCTCAAGTAGTCAGAGTGCGAATTTACTGTTCGGCAGGCCCGCGGCTCGAACCCGACCTCTGCCTCTTGACTTCCTCTCTCTAGGCTTGGGGGATTTGGCAGTATCGCAGCCTTCGTGCTTCCGTCGGGTGGCATGCCAGCTAGGCATCGGAAGGGTGCTCAGCTGAACGATTTTGTTGGGCGCCTGTTGTGTCGTATCTTCTAGCGGGATCTGTGCCAAGTAGTGCTGAATAGGTGTCGCGCCATATTATCCGTGTACACTTCACTAGCGTGATTCATGAATATCGGTGGATAGATGTTTCGCCTTGATCAGCTTGTCTAAGCCTATTTGGAAACGCGGGTTCTAGCAAATTGCTGGTAGTCGGCCACCATGTTTATATTTATAGGTGGTACATAGGGCACAGCTCCAGGCGTATTGGTATAAGCCCCACTGTATTTGTAACGCCGTAGTTTTGTGGCTCCCTTGGTCATTTCGCTAAACGCGCTTCCGAGTGGATCAGACACGGTTTTTGACCAAGTGGAACACGCACACACCACATTTCATCATGTAAAGTTCTAAAGCAGCGTAATGCCTGCCGTCTGTCGAGGATGACAGTAATCTTTTCAAAGGCCTTGAACTGTGGTGTCTTGTCCAACGATCCGGATATTCTTCATTCGAGTACTTTCTGTGGTTACTGTCTGAACGTCACAAGAACTGGTGGGGTTCTCGGGAGTCAGGTCTTCATTTTGGTCCAAATTGTTACTGACATAATCTTGGAGTGCGCTGTTTGAGAGATCGTGAATGCGGACATCGATATCACATTGTAAAGTTTGGTTGATTTTTATCATGGGGACAGCATCGTTTTGTTAATAGGTGGATTTGTACCCGCATGAATTTTAAATGGGATAAAAAGCGTTATCTTTTTCCGGCATACACCTTACACCTTCAGAGTGCAAGGTTTTGCTCCAGGTTTTCTCAGCACTTCTGCCTTTCTGAGACATGGGATTGCGTTTGTTGATGCGTTCATTTAACTTCACAGTGGCATGAATCGTTCCTGTTCTGCGAGAGACAGTCAATGCGCGCACCAAAAATACCCGCCAAACTCTGCCAGTTTTAGCATCAGAAAAGAACACAGGCTAGAGGGTTATGTCTACGAAATAGTTCTGAGGGCAGTCTTAATCTAGAATTATAGATATGAGCCTTGAATCTGTAGACTTCGGCCATAATCGGATGTGATAATCTATACCTTTGTAGCACAGCACTCCTTAACTGGGCATGTGCAAGCGAGCACTAGGTGCTGAGTTAGAGTCGTTTGATTAACAGAGAAATTTGTCAGGTTAAGGTGGTTGGGGGATTACTTAGTGTTTGCTCGACTATCGCCTGCCACATCCCTTTCTGTGAAAGTCTACCAGGAGGCAGGCCAGGTAATAACGGTGACTACTATCAAGCTGAACCCTGTGGAATCCTCACTTTGTTCTCTTTCGGATGTATGGGAACATGGTTACGTCCCTGCCTATTCGGAGCCCCGTTTCGCTGTGTCGGCGCGCGTCACGTTATGCTGCTAGGCACACTTATGAGAATGTTGGTGTGATTGCTGTGCTTCGATCAACTACAACCCGGTCGCGCTTCTTGTTGCTTCTGGAAGTAATAATTTCGTTCGTGGGTAACTTATCGACCATACCTTGAATGACAACCCCACAATAGTGTCCGGGACAGGCATAAGTGTGGGATTCGGAAAAGAATGGCACTATACATTCTAGCTTGGTTACATCGGTTGCGCAACCAGTCTACCAGCGTCTTTGATTCGTCGTCTTACGGAGGTGCCTGAGCATCAAGAATTTCGGATTGGTACAGGCTTCATCGTACACCGTACTCTGTCAGGTGTTGGGACGACACCCTACGTGCAGACGACCAACAGTCTTGGTGTTCCTTGAGTTCTTCTGTTGTCAGTGCTTCCAACTACTTACCCAACACACGTTACCCTATGAGTTAGCACAATCCGGTCCTTATATTTTGGACATGCAAGAGTGTGTGGAGAGGTCTCTAAAAGCTTCTCTACGAAAAGTATTCGACAAGGATACCCATCCTCCATTCTTATTCTCGTTTGTTGTCGGTGAAATAATGAGACGAAATTTAGGGGTTCTTCAAAACCCCGATGTTCAAATCATGGCTAGTTAAAACCTAGTCGGCCTGGAGTACGCAAACAATATCGTTAACATATTTTCAGCTAAAGACAGTACATGCACTTTTGAATTGACTGGTCACCATCATGCCGTCCTTTGGCATGTACAAAGCGCAGAGTTGTATTTCAAAACGCGCAGCGCCTGAACATACCTCTTCAGTCCAAAGAGAAGCACTATGGTTTGGAGGAATTTCACGTACCTCGGTAGTTGTATTAATTCTGACGGCGATGAAGTTAATGTCTGAAT